GAACGAAGTCGTTGTTCCGATCCGCCAGCCTAAATTTGTTAATTACGACAGCTTAGCTCCTTACTATGGCCATAGTAGTAAGTAGTGTATATGTTACCGGCAAAGTATGAAAAAGAATGCCGGGTTTCATACTTTGTTTCATTGTACATAATGCCGGACGATTTTAGGCAAAGTATGAAATAAGAGAATTATTGCGTACTTTACCTAGGCATTGTGTATAATACCCAGGCATTCTATAGAATGGTAAATGCTCTTTAGGCAAAGTAAAAAAGTTGTGATAAGGCTATTATTTAAAAGACGTTCATTCCTCTAAAATGCAAATGTTATTTTGAAAAATTAATGAAAGAGTGCCATTAAAAAACTGTTCTTCGAAATATGTAAAAACAATATAGTGAGGTGATCTTGATACAGCGTAATAAATTTGTTTTTTCTATCTGACTGTAACTGCGAATCGGGAAGATCTACCTGACAACGGAAGTTAAATTCAGAAACAATCATAAGTTTCACATCAATGCGCTTTTTAATTCCTTTTTGTTTTTTCTGGCAAGGCTCCCAAAGGTGGTTGTTACAGTTGAACATCATTACGTGTAACGTTTTTGTAATTGGTTGAAAGTTCTTTCGACATTCTGCCCCGTCATTCCTGTGCAGTAATCAAATGAGTTTTCATGAAATACGGAAAATAACTCAGCGTCCGTGACGCAATACTCCATAGTACTGACGCTTTGCTTAACAGGATAAATGAATGGACTTTTATTTTCCACAAACATCACAGCCTAGCGATTCGGCGGCCAGTAGTCCCGTGGTTCCTTCTTATTAGTCATTTTGGCCTTTTTACATCATTTATCATTTATTAACTTTTGCAAGTAGTTTCGGTTCTTCGAAACGAATCGGAAATCTATTTTATACTTTGCCAGTTTGTCATTTAGCATGCTATAGAATGCCTAGGAAAATGTGTGAAATATGAATCGTTTAATATATTGCCGGCTAGTTTTAGGCATTATGTACAATGCCTAGGCATTACATAGAATGCCGGATTTCATACTTTGCCAATAACATATGTTATGTAAAAAGTATAAGACTATGGTCCTACTTGTTTCTATATTTGTAAATTTGTGCAATGATTTATGAATTTAGTATTTGATTTGTTTTAAGTTACTTATTGCAGTTAGTGGTTATGTTGTTTGTTACTGTATTGTAATGTTTATTATTGCGTTGATGCTTTAATTGTAAGTATGGCTTTCTGTCCATGGAGTGTACAGCCGGGACGTGAAGTCCTTGGGATGGGGGCAGTGTTACGAATTTTGTATTTAGATATGTAATTTTAATAGAATTATAATTAAAATTGTTGTATTTTCCCATGCTATGCAGCACGAGAGAAATTTTAAGAGAAGGATATGCCGGAAAAATAACAATATACAGGGGCACGTGCGTTTAAGATTGAATAAACTGGTATCTCTGTAATTTGTGTTGAAATTTAAAAAATGTAATTGGCCATGCTATTTATAACCGTAATTCCATTCTCTTTTTGCTTTCCAGAAATCTCGAGAAGCAAAAATTACAAAAATATCTCGCACGGCCGGTTGAAAACTATTTAAGGCCGAAGAGAAAGCATCTGCTCTCAGTTGCTTATTTATTGTTTAGTTCAGGGTGAACTCTGAGATATCCGAATTAGCTTTCTTTTTTGATACGCTTTGCATTGCGTTGTGTTTTAACGTTTCCAGTAGCTTGAAGTATAACTACTGATTGTACTACGTGATATTGTGAACAATTGTACGAATATCTCTGAGGAAAATTCCAACATTCTGATGTATTTATTTTGATAAGGATAAATTTTGCTATGCTATTTATGCATTCAGTCTATGAACCCGTACGCACGCAACAATATAGTCAACCGCTTGATTGCCTCAACTATTGTAACAATGGGATTTGCATATTTAAATATGTGGGTAGCAGATTGCCTCTATTGTGCTACGTGATGTCTGTAGAATGTGTTTCCAAAGAATTGTTCACATCCTAAAAATAAAATGATATTTATCATCAAGCGAGTTGTGAGCTTTCATCTACTACACAGCGAATTCAAGCTACCTTTTATGGTGTGACAGCCACTCCAGCCATGATTGTTAGTTAATAGTTTTACTAAGTCCCTCATCATAGTACGACGAAAAATACGAAATTATTACAAAATCTGCTATCGTATTACAAAATCTGCTATCAACGCCACTCCAAACACGACTGCGGCAAAAATTGGTTTTCCCATCATCCCACCTGCAGCCCTTCAATGATAGAATTACGTAATGCAAAAATAAAAGTAACATTCACATTTGAGTAGCTTCGAAACGCAATTTTTTTTAAACAGGAGGACATGTCCTTTGTTTGGTCATCAAGTGTCATCCCTGTCTGGAGTGGGTTCTAATTCTTATATAGCCATAAAAGTTATAAAACAATTTTATTAATATGCATGAAATTTAAGGAAGGCAGTACAATATTTATTTCTGAAAATTTGATAATGATTCTTACTATAGTTGTGAATAATAAAATATCAACAATTTAGCAAAATTAAACAAGTAGCCATCCTTTTTGAACACTTTAACGGACGACACCTTGGTCAAAAATTTGGAATATCAATACTGTAAAGACAGATTTTAACAGTAATACTGATACTTGAAAGAATATCTAAATCCATATTTTCACAGAAAAAACGTTTTTCGCAAATTGATATGGTATAAGAAAAATCTCTTTTCGATAATAAAATCAAATAATAAAGTAATGCGTAGTTAGAAAGGAAGAAAAAAATGCTGAAAGGTGTTCATATTTTAACTTTCGTCCCAAAGGGTTCTATAAAGTTTAATATGGTTTTTCTGTATAGATTGTTAAATAGAGATGGCCTGGGTAGAATTAGCAAAACATTTTAAAGGATGCTAGCGGGCAATGGCCAATGCAATATTTAGAAGTTCAGTGTACTGCAAAACTGAAAATAATTGAACTATTAACTTAATGTACTGTATATAAAGTTTCTAGCTGCGGCAAAAGCAAAATTTATGAGTTCTATGTGCACCTGAAAAGAAAAAGCATAGAAACATTTAATATGAAATAAGTCAGTTCATTCTTTCTTAGCAATACCTCCCGGTGGTCGATGTAGAGAATTCTGCGAAGCTACTGGCTAGGATTTGTACCTAGGCAGTCTCGGCCACGGGAGTGAGCTTAGGGCGCAACCCGGTCCACCTTGGAAAACAAAGTTTTCCCTATGACTCTATACGGGCTACGGGGCCACGAGGGTATAAAATTTATGAACTTGGTGGTTCTGAAGGCTTCGGATAGGTCACTTATTGGACGGCCCGGTGGTCTGGCACGTCCTAGCGCGGTGTGGTTCTAGTATCCCGGGGAGTAGAGTTCTCGGGTTTGCTGGGTAACGTCCCACTGCGACGGGCAGCCCGAGTGACTGGTAGGTGGCAAATTAACGACCAGTGCCGTCTGGTAACTCCCAGGCGGTGCGTCGCTTTCTCTGAAGGGCAAGAGCGGAGGTTCAACTTCCGCGCCTTGCTCTGAAGGAAGAGTGGACCTGCAGTGCGATTCAGTCTCGCGAGGCAGGAAGCCAAAATCTTACTTACTTTCCTAGCAATAACCAGTTCGTTATAATTACTTAATTGCCAAACCAGGAAATAAAAACTTTTGATACTTTAGATTAATACGTATACGTATGACGTCATGATTTAAATTTAATTTAATAGAACAACTTTTTTCAATGCGAATACAAGATTTAACATTGCATTACCTTACTGTATCAGTTATCTTAATCTGAAACAAAAATGTTGCCAACAGCAGCTATTTATTTAAAATGCTGACATTAACGAAAGATTTTCGACATACAAAGACGTTACTAGAAATTACGTGCTTTCTTCAACGCCAGAACATGATCTTATATAATAATAATATATTTAATGTATGTATAGTAATGCTATTTTTATTTCATATTTTGTAAAACTTACAAATTTTTTTGAATAAACTCTATGATTGAAAAGCAAGCAGTGGCAAAACTTTTCGAAATAAAGCAGATTTTTATCTTCAGAGTGCTAAACTGTTGCTACTCGGAAAATTAGCGTTTTAAGAGTTTTTAATTAATATATCGCCTGATTAAAGGCGTACGAAGATGAGAATGGTCGAAATGGTTTCCCAATGAATATTTGGAGTCCAAGGGTACCTCTCTCGAAACTCAACTCCCTGCCGTTCCGAAGGAAATTATACCATAAACAAACAGTAGCGCACATGTTTTACTATTATAGACCAGATGAATGTTATAACCTATTTCTCCCGCCTTGATAGCATGCCTTCCTGGTGTAATGGTCAGCGAGCTCGGCGCGTACTCGAGAGATTCGAGCCTTGGCGAGAGCATTGCTCATTTTTCAAGTCTCCTGCTTCAAAATAAACCTAATGACTCTACAATGTAACATTTAAGTTAGCACTTGAAAGGAATTTGAAGAAGATTTAATGATCATTACTTTCATGATTTTTTTTTTCTTTTTTTTTTTTACTTTTTAGAATCATTACGATTTTTGAAATAGGAAACACGAAAAATGAATAATGCCCTCGCCCGAACTCGCACCTGGATCTTTCAAATACGCTCCGAGTGTGCTACCTTTACGCCGCGAAGGCATGCTGAAAAGATGGAGAAAATGCTTTACCACTTTAAAGATTTTTCTATTAAAAACATAGCGTATCCTTTCCATCATTGTTGTTAATTATGCACTTTTTATGGTAAAAGTAATACTAATTTTATAATAAGATAATTTATCCATTATAATCAGATGAAAAAGGTAATTATCATTTTTTTAAAAGAACTTCATTGAAAACCTATCTCTGTACCCTCTTAAGCACTATTATTTATTAGTTCCCCCGTTTGGGAACAAATATTAAGTTACTTTAAGATAAGATATTTTATCAAGATGAGTTATAAGATCCCTTGTATTTAAACTTTTCATTCTAAAGTAATTGTTTCTTTAAAGGTAACTATTGAAACTGAATTTCATGATGTGTCTCCTGGTGCTAATGGAAAAATTAGAATAAATAGCAAAGGTGACACCTTAGTTGGCCTTTTAGGTATAGATGAAGCTGTGTATGCCTTGTCTAAAGGCGATCTGCTGACAAAAGATAAAGTAAGTGATAATATCTTTTTACCTAAAACATGCAAACATTAATTACAAATGTTATTACAGCTATATAAAAATTGAGTACTTTTCCGTTTTGCCGTCGCAAGCTATAAAGTTTCCAGTAATGGTACAACCGATGCCAAACGAAATATCCTCGCTGGTAACCTTTTACTTCAACTTTTACATTTTAAAGCAAGTCGCAGCCATTTCTTATCAGATTGATCGTTTCTTTCAATACTGGCATACAATTACATAGAATTTTTACCAAATAGTTTAATTTTATGCCCTAAGGCCATTCTCGGGCGATAATTAAGTCAATTAGGATGCAATCACACCGCTCACCCGATGGCGAAAATATAGAAAATTCAACGTCAAGGGTTAAATTCATCAATTCTAATGAGAATGCCGTAGCAAGGTAAAGTACTGAGGTTTTACATAACTTCTGAGTAAGCTATGCGTACGAATTGAAATAATTCTTGCATTTAAACTTGTATTCCAAATAAAGATTTAACTTAAAATTAATATAGATAATTACTGAGAGAATTTAGACTTTTGTAGCGTAGTTTACGTGAAATGAGATCACTTGGGGTCACGTGATATGAAACGGCGAATCAGGATTTGTACGATGAAAGCATAGTAAATTCTTAAATTAATGTCTTTATATATTGCCTTTTTTACGAAATTTTAAACAACATTAAAATATTTATACCTTCAAAATAAAAAAATTCTTAGAACTAACATTTGTCAACATTTTTTATGTATATGCCATGTGTTTTCGCCAAAGATTTGCGCCGGCGAAACGGAAAAGTACCAAAAATTGTTGTAAAAATCGTTATAGTTGTAGAGTTAGTATCAGTGGTAGGAAAACAAACGAAACTCTAAAGTTGATGAAAAGAGAAAAGCTGTTATGTTATGACACATTGTTTCGAGTTTTGTATTTAAATAGCTAATTTTAGCAGAATTATAATTCAAATTTTGGTACTTCCCTATGCAACGCAGCACGAAACAAATTTTGAGAGAAAGCTATGTCGAAAAAGTAAAAAAAAAAAAAAAAAATATATGTGTACTTAACATTGAATGGATATCTCGGTAATTTGTATTGAATAAATGTAATTGACTGCAGTGTTAGCTGGGACAGTAATTGGTTCTCAGACAAAAGCCCACTGGATGAAAGCGCACGCGACAAAAGCTCACAAAAAACCCCCACTGTGATAATTGCTCACGCGAAAAATACCCACAGCAATGAAAGCACACATTGAAAAAAGCCACTCAGATAAAAGCCGATGCTGATAAAAGCCCACGCGGATAAAAGCGCACACTGATAAAAGGCCACATAATCAAAACTTATGGTTTTTTATTACTATAAAATATATTTATAATTTTAATTATAGTAAATGGAGTATTCAGATCTGAATTTTAAATTTGTTGGTTTGGAATAGTGATTTTAATTTTTTTTGGGGGGGGATGGAACAACTATTAGAAATTAACATATCTACAAATTTAACTACAATCACACCAAACTATAGTAATAAATATGTAGCATTTTATTAGAGTTTGTGACATTTTATTGGGCAAAACCACGAACCACGAATTTACACATGGGCAAAACCACGAAAACACCCATGCAGCCAGCCCGTTCGCGGAATTCGAACCTCGGACCGAACTACCAGTGTTCAGCGACTTTACCGCTCGGCCGCTGGTGGGCCCAATTATAAGCAGAATTTCAGATATTGTTAGTTTCTAGAAACTAACAAAAAATATCTAAAATCCTCTTTATTTCTCACACACCTCTAATTGCTCTTCCGCCACCCCCTTCCTGAGGCCGTTCTTTGGCACCTCAGGTACGATAGGGGATAAAGCAATTAAGCAAGGCTGTCTTCTTTTTAATTGATTTTTCACTCAGCTGGGGGAAAAAGAACGCAATGGTTTCCCGCCTGAATAGCCAGCAGCCAGTTAGAAAACTGCTTGACAAAAGCCCTTAAAAACAGCACACATTTTCAGGAAATCCAAAATAGCTATTACTTTCTGAATAATGTTACGAATAATAATTATTGTGATTAAAAATCAAATTTCAAGTGGGAAGGAAATTGATTTATGTAAAATCGAAGTCGTCAAAATTTAAAAAAATTATTTGAAACCGTGCTTTTAATTCACTATTAAAACAGTATTTGTGATAGTGCTCACAAATGTTTTCTTAAACATAATAGAATAAGGATAGAATAAGGCACTTTTATTTTTTTCTTTGAAATTAAAGTTCGGCTTTAATTCTCCATATTAAATTCATTTTTCATATTCATTCATATGCAAAATTTTCTGAATTGTTAAATTATTCATAAATTATTCTCTGCATACAATTTATACTCCTTATAATTTTGTAGAATTAAAAGAAGAATGGCGAGTATTCCCTTTGTCGGACATATACGAGATCACTTCCCTTTGTCGCGTAAATATAATAACAAAGTTACACATAACAAGTATATGTTTTTAATTACATTATTTTTATTCAATCTTTGTTCTATATATATCTACAGGGTTTTAATTTAGTCGGAGCCCAAAATGAAATGTGTTCCGCTACTTAAATTTATTGTTCAATTATTTGTTATTAATTTAATTTATTTTTTTTACTGTATCTTTATTCATGAATCTGCTTTGTACAGCTGAAAAAAAAGGCAAAAAATATTAATTTTAACGTAATATATATATCGGTGGACTTTTTGTCAGTGTGGGCTTTCTGTCAGCGTGGGCTTATATTTATGTGGGTGTGATAAGGTCACATAAAGGAAGAAGAAACAACTAAAGAACAACTGCAGTGTAAGGCTACCTCTAACTTAAAACATTCAAACTCTCAGATTAAACACACAATAACGTTTAGCATTCTGGTTAGGACTACGTAAATAAGAAAGTAGAATAAAGGTTCTAATCACAATAACTGGTTAATTAACATAAAATGATACACTTTCATGTTTCATAGTTTATTAAGATTTAATTGGAAAACATTTTTTTCTAATTACTTATGCACATTACTATAGTAAACTACTCACAGTTTGTCAAAGTTATTGATTGGGATTAACTAATATGAAATTACAGCTTCAATTAGCTGTATTGGTTAGATTTTTTAAACTGACTGTTTCAGTATCGAAATAATTTCAGTTGGATTCAGACCTGGCAATTAGCCAGGTCATTGCCATTTTTAAACTAATTTATAAAACAAAATTGTTTGTTTCCTATTCATGTTCGATGGCGTGATGGCATTTGCATTCTGAAAGAAATGAACATTGCTTTGAAAGGTTAACAGTTGAAGAAAAATGGTATTAATAGTTGAAGTTCTTTTAAACACATTGATATACTGGGCTGCATTAATTTTTTCTTTTAAAATATGAAGTCGACCTCCTCCTATACCAACGCAGCCCCGTATCTATAACTCTTGCTGCAGTACAATATGATTCAAATCTTTCATTGTGATGGCATTCTTACTAATGTGGCTCCTTTATTAGATTTCAAAGTAAGTTTTGCTTCATCATTCCAGTTAATTTTATAGATCCACAGTCATATGATCATGTGGCCATTATAGTCACTTCAGTGTTTCATTAATGAAATATTTCTTCGCAAGCCATTTTCAGTCAATCTTCGGTTTACACCAGAAGACATACATTGAACATCTCATGTACAAATTTGAAATTCAATTCATCAATTTGAAAAATTGAGGCCTATCAGGCCTCAATTTTTCAAAGTTACCAAAATGATATTTCAAAGTCAAGCGAAAACGACTTCGGTCATATCGCATCATGCTTTTACTTGGCCTTCCCTTTCTGTGCCAATCATCCAAATCTCTAATTAAATTTAACGCATTAATTAAATGCTAACTGTCGAATGATGACAGCCAGATTTTATAGCAATTTGACGGCGAGATGATCTTTCATCATGCAGTGTAATTTTAGCACGCGAAATTACTTTTCTGCAAACGCTCTTCTTTAAACATACGTGGAATTCAAAGATCAATTTCAATTTCAGATATCTCAAAATAAAAAAAAAAAAGTCTGAAATGTTTCAGATTTTAAATTACGTCTAAAGGGGCGTTTTTTAACATTTTGTGTGTTACCTTTCTTTATTAAATATCATGTTCCTCGCACTTAAACCATAAGATCCAGTGCAACCAGCAATATCGCAAAATAGTTTTAAAACGAGCATATCTTTAGAATTTCCGATACAGAGACTCACGCGCTGGAGATAAAAATGTTTTTTCTGCACAACGTTGCCATTGCTCGCTTTGAAACCCTTGAGTTTGTTAATCAAAAAATTCGTCAAAGTTTTAAAAAAATAGGAAATCGATCATAAAACAAATTTCAAATTTCAAATTTGGTCTTCCACATGCTCATATTCGTTGGAGGATTACGTTATTCAAAATTCGATGACTCTATGTACCGTTGTTTTATCACAATACGAGAAATATACATACATTTATGCAGATTTTTCATTATTTAATTTCTTCAAATATAATGCAGGACTCTAACATTTTGTGGCAACAGTTTGAAAAGTGAACCGACATTTATGAGTCCGACGCAAAATGCCAAAACGAAACTAATAGTCCTTCGGGATTCAAATCCCTTTGGACTAATAAAGCTTGGATACTTGAATAATTAGGTAGATATTTTATTACTTGTTGCAAGCCACATTTTCTACTTTTTAGAGTAACTCAAATAACTCCAGCGTCAGTAATTCGTATAAATGGAAATCCTTTCATAACTTTAAAATAAGCAATAATCATTCTCTTACAGGCAGAATTCAGATGTTACAGAAAGTTACACTATTAAAAAGTTTCATTGATTTAACGTTTCATTAAATGTTGTATTGATAAATATCGACACAAAAAACAATTGCAAAGTTTTCAAATGAATTTGTAGCAACAATAAATAAATTAAAAACAAGATTTGCTACATTAAAAAGCTAAAAAACACGAAGTTCATCAGCTTTTATTTATGTGGCTCAACACAAAAGAGTTTCCCCGTGTGAAAACTACCAGTGTTTAGCAAAGATAAAAGGAAATACATCATGACCGTTGATGAATACATCATGATCGTTGGAAATGCATCATGACCTAATGACTGTTATGAAAGCGATTTATTTAATAACTAAAAACGATAAAAAAAATGCACAAATCTGATTCCGTTAATTGAAACGGAGTTTTAGTAAAATGTTTCTGACTATCGCGAGTTACTTTTGCAGTGAAAAAATTAGAAAACGAAGAGTGGGGAAAATATTAAAATCCACGCAACATACTATCCAGAGAACATTTTACGTCTGATGTTTACAAAAGAAATTCCATTTCTTTTGTAAACAACCCCTGTATAATGAATTTTCTTTCACGTCTAATTGATTAAAGCACTGGTCTCAAACTGTCTGAAGGTCGGCCACATGCGGTCCCCACTACAATTTTATACGGCCCGAAAATAAATTTTCCGTAAATTAATTAACATTACTATGACAAGAATCTGGAGGAAAAATCAAGATATTAATCATATGAAGTTCCAATTTTACATTATTTTCGTTACTAAAAACAAACGCATGTAACACCACAGAAAATATACGATAATGAAGCTAATTAAATTACTCTGTGGTAAAAATCTTATTAATATTTGAAGACAATGATTTAATTAATTTTTATTCGTACTTCTCAAAAGCTAAATACCATAAATCACGAATTTTCGTAATACAAATAATCACTTTGTTAGTGAGTATTTAAAAAAATTCCATAAAACAATAAGTGTGAATAAAAACATTTCAAATTATTCACGTATAAATATGCAATTTTTCTATATGAGTCATTGCAAAATGTAATAAATTAAAGAAAGAGAATAGTTAGTCATCATTTATTCTCAAGTTCTTCTTGTGAAGTTTTCATAAATTATTTTTGCTTTAAGTTTAAGGTAAGTTATTTAATAATTACTGAGTATATTCGGATTCTTTGAATAATGCCACTCTAAAAATTTAATATTTAGCTCTCAAGACGTTTGAATTTTAAACTTTGTTTAAAGTAACAACTAAATATTTTTTACTACTGTTAATTTGCAGTAGTAAGGATAAATGCTTTATGCTATTAATTTAATTCTAGGTTTTCAATGCTTTTGAGAAACATGATTCAGGTTGCGGAGCTGGGGGTGGAGTAAATATTAATTCCATACTTAGTAATGCTGGAATTATTTTAGCAACTAATAAGTATTCTCCTCCACAGGATACATGTAAGTGTTTTAAGCATATGTTTTGATTATTTTTATATAGCAGAATAAATATACAATAGTAAATTAAAGAGTTTGCTTTTGCGTATCACATGGTGCAGACAGAAAGTTCTAAAGCTATGGAATTCAGCAGAATTATTTTCCACAGGCCTGCATACACGCTTAAGAGAAGTTCTGCAAAATTCGTTTTAGATCCTTAAAATTTAATTTGGAATTATATATATATATATATTTATTTTTTTTTATTTTTTTTCTGTGTATTTTTCAAATTTGTTCTCTCATCGTGAATAAATAATTAATTGCTACGGAAAGTATTCCATCGCCACGGATAATTAGTAATTGCCACGGAAAGTATCCATTAAATGAGAAGATAATTTTCCGAATGAAGTTTATTCCAAATGGCTCTGGCACAATTTATTCATTTTTTCCTTTTTTATTCTAGACACCAGCCCATTTTTTCATGATGATTTAAAATTTTCATCCATTGCCAAGCGTATGGGCAAATATCATGCAATTTTTCTGTCATATTTCGTACGATTTTTAGCTTAATTTCCAATTTTTCAATTAGCTTTTGTTAATTTATATTGTATCGATTTGGATGTTTTAAATAGTTTCATTTTTACTTTGTGTACATATGAACATCGGTTCACTCTAATTCAGTTTTTTCTAAAACATACCGATTTCATTCTCTGCAGAGAATTGTATTTTCATAATTCATTTTTGTTTTATCTAATCTTTACGCATTGTCTATGCATTATGCAATATATGTAGCAGACATTCAGGAATATATGTTCGGAGATACGCCTCTCTATGGAAACGTAATTTGAAAGTGCTTTTCCTCATGTCAATAAAATTAGACTTTTCCTCATGTCAATAAGATTAAGCTTTTCTACTGAAAACTCATTATAATAGTAGTTAAAGATTCGTATGTACGAGTAGGAAAAAACTGTCTGTTCGTTAGTATTTATAAACCGCAGAATTGAATTTCATAAAAAGGTCAAATACACAAAAGTTACTGAAACAATCACAATATTATCAGTATTTAAATTCACTATGAAGTGACACTAAATTATGCAGCCAAATTTTATTTATATACTGGTAAATTTCGAAAAACTTCAGCGAATTCCAGGAATTTTTAAAGGTGTCGGAAACTTCTTTAATGTGCGTTTCGTCCACCAGTAAGCCAAATGGTTAAGACCACTGAATACTGGTAGTTCGATTTGGCTTAGGTTCAAATCCAGGCGAATGGGCTGGTTGAATGTTTTGATTTTCATGGTTTCCTCATGTGTAACGTGAGTACGAACACCTAATGTGCATTTTCAAGAAATTACTCGGACGTTCAGTTCCAGGAAGGATCCTTAGATGCTCCAAAGGTCAGACTAATCTTCTTCTGAGCCTCGTCGTCTGTTCATCTTACGTTACAATAATTTTGAAATTAGTGGCAGCAGAATGATCAAGTGTCATCTGTATGTGCTCTTTAACAATTTTTCAATTGTATTTTCAAGTTTGTAAAACTATTGGTAGTTTTTCTGACTTCCAATTTTCAATGCAAGAGACCGTCTTAGAGTTGCAGTGTTTTTCTCGATTCATCTGAGGTTGGCGTGTAGTCATTTTCTTCACTCTCAGTTTAAGTGTCTGTAGCTCTTTTAACACTTTCTATAATATCGTAATTAATATTTTCATATGCTCTCTCAGTTATCATCAATTGCAATGTTATTTTGACAACGAATCTTCAAAATGTTTCTTACTGATATCCAAAATATTAGAAATAGCCTTCAATTCCTCCGTGGCTTCTTCTAAATAAAAAATAACACTTTCCAAAGCAATTTCTACCTCTGTTTTCGAAGACTGCTTCCCATGTGTTGACTGTAATATGCTGAGTCTGTAGCAAAAATATCAACTTAGTTATCTCCTTCGAAGTGCATTTTCACAAGATTCAATTACGTTTATTATTTTTGGAACACCTTTTTTGCAACGACCTTTGAAAGTTTTTATAAGATCTTCGTCTAAGGGCTGAATGAAAGAAGTCGTATTTTCAGGAAGAATCGCTAAATTAATGTTTTTCAGAACGACATGACAGGGGTGAACAGCACAGTTATCTAACAGTGAAGCTATGTTTTTGTTTTTAGTTTTCTACTCTATTTTAAAAGGAAATCAGTAAAAATACGACTTGCCATCCATGAGTTCTTGTCGTTATGATAAGTTACAGAAAAAATCATGAATTCGTTTAACATCGAGGTTGTCTACTTTTTTAAATCCTTGTACGAAGTAAAGGAAGTAATGTAATCGCGAAAAATTCCAGATATCATATTTCAACGAATATATCCATTCTGACGGCTATTGAATGCAATTTAAATATGTTCTTGCGTGGCATCTTTACGTAAGGACATAATAAAGGAGTCTTTTTCCCAAAAGAATTATAAAACTGATTTAAAACGGATTCAGAAGAGTGTTTTTCGTCGCATCTGTACATACGTACGAGCAAGTAATGAATTCACGATAAACAAATATTTTGGTCTAAAACAAATATTCCAGTGATTTGCTTATCAGCAGGAATTGTTATGAACTCTTAAGAGCCACTAAGGACTCTGTTCTGATTATGCCGTACATCTGAATTACGAACTTTCACTTTACATATTCGAAGACACATATTCGAAAATCGGCCATCAAGATTCCACAGCGATAGCGCTGTAGCGCGGGAAAACAACTGTTTTTGCCTGAGCCGACAATAACTAGAGAAGGGTACCCAACTTCTCTAGAGTGTCTTGGTTCTAACTGCACTGTCCGAAACGTTTACTAAACCCGTTTTATCGAAGCACCACATAACTCAAAGATATATAAATGAACAACAAACAGCTTTTATCAGGTGCAAACAGTTTATTAGGGATCTGAAGAATCGATCTTTTACCAGTTTGAGTTTTATAACAGGAGGAGCTGAGTTTAATTAACAGTGGCTTTTCTATTGATGAGTATATATTTGTTTTGGTTCCATATAATATGAGCGTAATAAGCGGCTGAGTTTATTAACAGGTCATTTGAATAAGTATCAAGTATTGTATTAGAAAAACAACAATAAGTGGATTTTTTACTTTTATATTAATACATTTCCTTTTGTAAAGATAGCCTCATGAAATCTCCTGCTGTGAAGCTCATTTGAAATACATAAATAAATAAATAAATAAAATAAAAATAAAAATAATTGAGAGGTTTTAACTGTCTCCCAAAACGGTTTGTTTAAGTTTTTTAAAGCTCTTGCTGAGCTCGCAGTCTACTTTGTTTTCTGTTGCACTCACTCCTGCTAACTCATTTTTTTCCTTTTTAACTTCATTATTTAGCATAATTTTATTTGCACTTGCGCCATATGCAATTCAAAATCAAAATTAATTTTTTTTTATTTAATTTAACAAAATTTAGAATTCCCGATGCAATGTTAAGTTCAGCATACATTTTTATATTTTTTCACACTTTTCTCAGTACATCATGTAACTGTTCAATTTTCTTAGTAAGATGAATAGCAAAATTGTTCCTGTATTTTTATTATTAACATTTTAAGTGTTAACTTTGTAGAAACATTAGGATTTTTTTTAAGCCGGAGAGATGAAAAATTAGCACCGCCTTCGCCGAAAATCGAACCACGGATCTCTGGAATACCGGCCCAGCGTGCAAAACCACTACACCACGAAAAGGAAAGTGGGAGAAATACCTTATATACTCCCCTTTTTAAAGGGCGACTGGAGTTTTAGGGGACCCAATCGCCGAATCCTGGGTGTGAAGAGTCATCATTCGCAACCCTTTTAGTCCGGGCGCAACTGTAGAGACATTAGGTATATATTTTTGGAAGCAGGAAAGATGAAAAATAGCAACCGCCTTCGCCGGGAATCGAACCACGGACCACTGGAATACCGGCCCAGTGTGCAGAACAACTACACCACGAAGACACGCTAGGAAGGCGGGAGAAATACCTTATATACTCCCCTTTTTAAAGAGCGACTGGGATTTTCAGGGGACCCAATCGCTAAATCCCGGGTGTGGAGAGTCATCATCCACAACCCTTTTAGTTCGGGTGCCACTGTAGAGAGATTTGTATTTTTGGAAGCCGGCAAGATGAAAAATTAGCACATCGCCTTCGCTGGGAATCGAACCACGGACCTCTGGAATACCGGCCCAGTGTGCAGAACAACTACACCAGGAAGACACGCTAGGAAAGTGGGAGAAATACCTTATATACTCCCCTTTTTAAAAGGCGCCTGGGGCTTTTAGGGGACCCAATCGCCAAATCCTGGGTGAGGAGAATCCAACACCCTTTTAGTTCGGGCGTCACTGTAGAGACATTAGGATTTTTTTGGAAGCAGGCAAGATGAAAAATATGCAACCGCCTTCGCTGGGAATCGAACCACGGACCTCTGGAATACCGGCCAGCGTGCAGAACCACTACACAACGAAGGCACGCTAAAAAAGTGGGAGAAATACCTTATACTTTATTTATTAAATGTCAAGATTTTTGCATTTACGCCACATAAAATTTAATTCAAGAGAACCGAGCAGAAAAAACAGCATATGTTTAGAATAGCATATGCATTAAAAGCAGCATATGTTTAGAATTTTGGATAGACAGTCTCGCGAGCTGGAGATAAAAATGTTTTAGTGCATACAGTGTTGCCACTGCTTTCTTTCAGATCATTTAGTTTGTTAATCAAAAATTTATTAAAATTTTACAAAATACGAAATAGATAATGAAACAAATTTGAAATTCAAAATTCAGGCTTCTTCCAAGAGCACATGTTCGGATAGGGGACTACGACATTCAAACTTTGATAACTCTAGATACCGTCGTTTTTTCACATTGCAAAAAACATTCATTCGTTTATGCAGACTCTTCATTAATTAATTTCTTTAACAAGGCGATAATATTTGGTGAAGATAATAGTTTTAATAAATAATAAAAGGCGATAATATATTTACAAAAGTGATAATATTTGGTGGCAATATTTTGAAAAGCGGAAAACCATTTATAGTGATTCGATGGAAGATCACGTTTCGAGACTGATAGCTCATTTGAGCTAACGCCCCTTTTGGGATAATAACTACTTTTAAGAGTATAAATATTGCTAAATACTTAAAAAACAGGGTAATTGCATTTTGATATATAATTATTAGAGAATAGTGATAATCTGCTTTTTGTGTTTCGTGTTAATATTTGGTGCACTGACAGCTCATTACAATAACTTCACATTCAACTCATGAACCTCCGCAGATAGAGAAATATAATGATTTGCTCCACGTCAAACTTTCTCTACTTGCAACAAAAAGGTAAATTAATTATTGCTCTAAATATTATGAATTAGCAGAATTATACATCGGAAGTTGCATGTTATTATGGTCATTATTATTTCAGTTATCGCTCTGTTTATTGTCTCATTTTTTATTTTTGATTATGCTGGTCATGTTTATTATATCACATTAAATGTATACATCCTTTTTGATAGAATTGTTAATATGATGGGAAAAAAAGATATTAATTTAAAATTTAAAATCTAATTGTCCCAAAATACACTCCTCGATATTGAAAATGCAACACCAAGAAGGAGTGATCAAAAAGTGATGAAATTTGGAAAAGAGACAGAGACTGCAAGCAACAATAAGTGATCTTTATTTCAAAATGATAGTCAGAATACAGAGCGAGAACGGCGTCGGCTCATTAGGATGTAAGACTACCGTGGACAGCGATGCACGAAGAAACACGTCTAGGTCTAGTCAATAAGAGTGCGGATGGTGTCCTGAGGGATAGCTCTCCATTCCCTTTAAACCATTTGTCACAGTTTGTCTTTTGAACTAGGCAGGGGCAGAGTCTGCAAACGGCGTCCAATCACATCCCACGCATGTTCGATTGGTGGCAGGTCAGGAGAGTACGGTGGCAAGGGAAGCATATGTATATCTTTGCAGAGCATGTTGGCGGATGCGAGCACTGTGTGGTCGGGCGTTATCCTGCTGAAAAATTGCATTAGGCAGCCAGTGAAGGTAGGGGATTGCCACCGGCCGCAGTACATTATCCAAGTATCATTGGGCCGTCATAGTGCCCTGAATACTAACTAACGATGACTTGGAATCGTAGGCAACAGCGCTCCAAACCATTTTGCCATGTTGTCGCGCGGCGGGGTGTTCCACAGTTACTGCCGGATTAGATCTGTCTCCACGTCGACGCCACACACGTATGCGGCGACTGTCACTGGATAAACAGAAGCGTGACTCTTCTGAGAACACAACGTTTCGCCATTCTGTCATCCACATCGCTCCAGTCCGGCACCATTCTAAACGTTGGCGTCTATGCTGTGGGGCAATGGCAGGTTTCTTAACGGACGCCGTGAGTGCGGCCCACGATCAACCAACCGACGGGAAATGGTTCTGGTCGATACGGGAACATCCAGGGTATTTTGCACATGCTGCAGAATCGCGGTACAAGTGACCACAGCTTGTACGGGACCGCCACAGCTTGTCGGCGGATGCGTCGATCCACGCGTGCTGACGTCACGCTGGCAGAACCTGCACCCCTCCTTCTTCCCACATTTCCTTATTCCAACCATGTTCGCCATAGCCGATGCGCCGTGCTCGCATCCATTTGGGTATCAGTTGCGATTTGACGTAAGGACCAAGCCACGGCGGCCTGGCATTTTCCTTTATTACACGTATCCTCCGGCACAAAAACAAACTTTCTTCGATAATTCGTCTGGCAGACATAACGACACGAATATTGCCCATTCTGCACGTTCCTTCCCTTATATCTTACTTTACGTGCGTCGGAGAGCTGCGCATTTCACATCATTCGCATAACTCAGTGCCGTGCGTCTACTCTAAAATTTGCATACATTTCTGACCACTCTTTCTTCGTGTTGCATTTTCAATGTCGAGCAGTGTAATTATTAATAACTGTTTGTAACAAGTCGTAATGTGTACTGTCTTTTGAATCTTTGCTATCTTTCCAGCTTTATCCTGTAATGAAAAGAAAAGGAGAAAAAGAGACATAACAGCAGACATATGTAAGTTTTTAATATTTGCCCTAGCATTTTATAATTAAAATTTTTATTTTTACAATTTCAAGATGAAAGTAATTATTGTTTTCTAATCTAGACAATGATTTTGATTCATTTGAAACATTTCAAAAAACTTCAAAAATAAACAAATAATAATTAAATTTGAAAGGCCAGATATTAATGGTTACCTAAAAGGGTTTATTAAGGTTTTTTGCGCTCTCCTTGAGCTCGCAGTGTGCCAGTCTGCTCTTGAAATCACTCCTGCTAACCCTAATTTTTGTCTTTTTACCTTGATAATTGAACAACATTTTCTTCGTGCTTACACCACATGCAGTTCAACAACAAATTATAAAACTTTTAAAAGCTGCATAGGCAGCATATATTTAGAATTTTCGATGCAGAGCGAAGTGTTGGCATGCATTTTTATATTTTTTCAGTGTTTCTCCAATTCATCATATTGTTACAAATTTTATATATTGATAGCTAATTTTAGTAGAATTATAATTAAAATTGTTGTATTTCCTCGTGCAATGCAGCGCGAGACAAATTTTAAGAGATGGCTGTGCCGGAAAAGTAAGAATACAAGCGCACGTGCATTTAGCTTTGTGTAATTTATATTGAAATTGAATAAATGTAATTGACTAATGTGCTGGGTGTAACCGTAATTTCACACTCTTAGTGCTTTCCAGAAATCTCGAGAAGCAGAAATTACTAGAAATTCTGGCGACTATAAAAAGCTATAAAAAGCTATGAAAACTATAAAAAGCCAGACAGAGAGCATCTCAGCTCAGTGTTTATTTAGTTGTTTAATTACTATTGCTGCGAGTTGTAGTTCCGCGTGAGCTAAGATAAATCCGAGTTAACTTTCTCTTTGATACGCATTGCATTGCATTGTATTTGAACGTTTTTAGTAGTCTAAAGTATACCTACTAATTATACTGTGTGATATTGGAAACACTTGTACGAGTATCTCTAAAAATTCGAGAGTTTTGAGCTATTTCTTTTGATGAGAATAAATTTTATTAACCTATTATCGGACTTGTGCATTCAATCTATAATGAGCCTATGCGCACGCAACACGTTTTGGTGTCAGAAGTGGGATTGAATGATAGTGACAAGAACGCTGGAAGAACAATTAAGAAGGCTGGTGACTGCCTTTGCTACATTCCAAGAAAATATGGAAGCTAGGCAAGCATCCTTTAAAATAGAGATGAAAGCGGTTCAAGATTTTGTTAAAGATTAGATGGAAGCCGGCTAAAAATCCATTAAAGAAAAGATTGAAGCAGGTCAGGAGGAAGTGAAAAGAGAAATTAGCTGCATAATAGAAAAAAAATTTGAGGTTATGGAAGGCAGAATTAACGCTGTTGAAAATAAAGTTGAACACATTGAAGAAAGAGTTTGTTCTGTAAAAGAACAAACAGAAAACAGAGTTTCTGCTGTGGAGCAACAAATCGGAGGAAGAGTTCTGGCGTCCAATAAACAAATTGATGCTAGGGTTACTGGTGCCGTCGCCAAAGACGTTTACACCTCAAAGGAGCGTGTAGCTATAGTAGGAAGCCATTCTGACGATTTGAAATTTTTACCCATGCCTGCTCGTCCCCCTCTGAAGCTATCCACATATGATGGGAAGATATCTTGACAAGTGTATAAAATACAGCTTTCTATAGTGACGCAGGCGAATATATGGGATTCTCAAGCTAAGCCCTGTCATCTTGCCGCTTCTCTGAGAGCAGATGCAGCGGCTATCTTTCAGACTCTTCCCAAAAGCCAAAGCCTAGACTTCGAAGCTCTATTTGGCGCGTTGATTTTAGTGAGAAGTGTTTAAAAAATTACAGCAGGCTTCAATTAATATCCCGTCAACAGAAGGTCATGGAGATACTCCAGGAGCTCGCAAAGGATGCTTCATGGCAGTCTCACTTCGCCTTTTCTGAGTGTCCGACAGAAACAAGGAAAATCTTGAGCCTGCAGTACTTCGTCTATGGCATTCGGGATCCGGAAATACAGAAGGCTCAACAATTTACGCAACCCGGGTATGATCGCGTTAGTTATGCATACCCAACGCGACTCCGTTTTTTCGCCGTTTCTCTCCAACCTTTTTTCTTAAAATGGCTGATTATTCTTGTAACTGTTCTCAAGGTCATAACCTTAGAAGGAAAGAATAGGGGAAAGATTTTTAAAAATAAATATCTTGAAATCACCACTCACATTCAGCGCGAGCATTTCTGTTACAATTCTGAGTACTGGTAGACGCACTGAAATCGCTCTCTCATTCTGGCGCGTTTTCGAAGTTATGATGAAGAAATGTGACATTTAAGAAGTTTACTTGATGCTGTTTCTTCTGGTGAAGAAAGTCTTAAGGAAGGTAAGGAGTTTTCCGGTAATGAAAAGGTGAATGATGAAGAAATTTACAGTGAACACGACTTCGACTGAAATAGAATCTGATTTAGAAAGCGGTCTTTCTGATTCAAATGAAAGTGATTATTTTATACGAAAGGATAATGTAACAAAATAAAGTAAAATGAAATTCCGTGGAAATATTAGAATTTCCGCTAAAAATATAATTTCGAAACTCCCTGGAAATACATGCGTTTCGAAAAATGTCGCTTCTACTCTGAAAGCTTGGAACTTACTTTTATATTCTGATTTGATAAAGAAACTAGTGCAATGTGCTAATATTTTTATTGGTTCGATTAAAAAGAACGTTTCTCGAGAAAGAGGTGCAAGAGAGACTAATGAGGGTGACATTAAAGCTTTTATTGGATTGCTGTATAACATTGTTTGTATGAATCATCCCATGTATATATACGAGATCTTTGGGCAACAGACGGCACTGGAATTGAAATATTCCGTACAACTAAGTCATCAACACGTTATTATTTTTTATTGAGACGCCTTCACTTTGATGATGCGAAAACCCGCCAGAGCGGGAAAGAATTCGATAAACTAGCTCCAATACGTGATTGTTTTGAAGTGTTTGTAGAAAATTTCGAAAAATCGTACAACGGGGGGAAATACTTCACACTAGACGAAAAATTGAAACTTTTCAGTGGTCGATGCCCATTTCGGCAATATATGGAAAAAAAAAAAAAAAAAAAAAAAAAAAAATCCAAATATGGAATCAAGATTTTTGCGCTGATCGATTCCAAAATTTTCTACACTTGGAAATTAGAAATTTACGCACGTTAGCAGCCAAAAGGTCCGTTTCAGGTGGATAACTCTCCTAGTAGTGTGGTAAAAAGATTAATAGCACCTCTTTACAAGTCAGGGAGGAATTTAACACTGGACAAATAGTATATGTCTTTTAGCGATCACCGGACTACATTTGTTAAAAGACGCGCTCGGATGAAGACAAAGGAGAACAGGCGGTGATGCGGCTCGAGGGGAGTAGAAACCAGACAGGCGTAGACTTTATAGCTCCTATTGTTTCGATTCGGAAATGTTGTAATATTCCCAGGCTCGCACAACTAATGTAAAATAAATTCAAGTGTGAATATGGACGATTGGCATCTTATTTTAGGAGGTTTTTATCATGCATTTTAATATATTTATAGTGAAACCACTAAACTGAAGACCCACTGTCTCAGCACGCATATGAACTAAAAATTGTCAATCTTATTCCATCGACGAATCACGAGGCTTGAGTGAATGTTTCCTTATCGGAACTTACAACTTGTCAGTTTCTCATCCGAAATAGTCGATTCATTTCCTAAAATGGAAAATAAAGGCACAGATCAAGGCACTGGAAATATAGCATGTGTAGAGGTAAAAGCTCCTCCTTTCTGGCGAGCAAATCCACAAAATCTGGATTTGGCAGATAGAAAGCCAGTTCGCGTTGGCCGGTGTTACAGTAGAGTGCACAAAATTCCACCACGTAGTTTCAGCTTTACAACCTGAAGAGTTAGCTGTCGTGGGAGAAATTATTTTTAAACTACCAGCCAAGGCTCCATATGCGGCTATCGAAATCCATCTCTCCACGCAGTATGCCGACACCGAGGAACAGCGGCTCAAAACCCTCATTTCCGGAATACAGCTGGGCGACAAAAAACCATCACACCTCTTACTGGAGGTGCGAAGTAAGGCTAGCTCACGAATGACTGAAGATCTTCTTGGATCACTTTTCCTGTAGCGACTGCCAACACATGCGCAACAGATTTTACGACTCATTAGATTTCCAACGACTCATTAGACAAGCTCGCCGAGATGGCTGATGGTATCATGGCAGCCACCGGAAACGTTTCATCAGTGTTTAAAGTAAAAACGGAAGACTCTGCTGTAAAAGAATTATTAACTAATATTTCATCTCGTCTTTCTCGGATTGAAACACATTCCAGATCGCGTTCAACCGAACGAAAACAGCAGACCATAAAATGCCGTCATTAAGCCGCCAACGACGAGGTAATACAGATCATTGCTGGTACCATCAGCGTTTCAAAGAAAACGTTACCAATTATATAAAACCCTGTACCTTTCAGGCGGAAAAGTAGTGCCGCCGTGACTATTTATCGTTTATAACTCTCAGATAAATTCACAGCGTCAAAGTATCTGATTGATACGGGAGCAGATATCTCGGTAGTTCCGCTTACGGAAACGAAGCGCAATCAGCCACCCACCAAGAGTCAACGGTTTGCTTCAAGTGGGACTCCAATACCTACTTTTGGCCAAACACTCATTAAACTGGACTTAAGTAGGGAATTTAATTGGCCGTTTGTCATCGCTGCGGTCTCTCAACCTATTATTACGGCTCACGTTTCTCGTCACTTTGGATTACTGGTTGGCATCCGACAACGATGTTTTGTGGACCACTTAACTGCGTTCCAAAGGAACTATGATTACAAAAGTTATAACTCGCATCAAAGCAGTAAGTGGGGATACTAAGTTTCACCAACTGCTCGCCGAATTTCCTGCGCTTACGGAAGCTAGCTCAACGCCACGGAAAATTAAACACGACATTACTCACTGTATTGAGACTAGAAACTCACCTGTGATTTCCCGGCGGCGCAGGCTTT